ACTGTTAGACTGTTAGGTTGGGGTTAGGGTTATTATAAGTTGACATGTTTGCAAAGTTTCTTATAGTCAGTTAAATGTCTGTTAAATATCTGTATCAACAAATATTAAGCAGACAGTCTACTAATACTCAATTGGACTATCAAAATAAAGTGTTACCGTTATAAATTATAACTTTACTGCAAAATAGCACAGAACACAATGGAAATGTTTCAAGGGAACTCTAGAAGGGGACGAACACTGATATTTAGGATATGGTTATTTGCTGCATGTTAAGCTCTCTCTCAGCCACAGAAGAAAAGAGTGCCTAAATAATACTTTTGTAAAAGCCACAAAAACATAGATGTATAAAGATATATACACTACATATCGCATACAGATCCTGAGAATGCTTCAATAGCGCAGCCATATTTGTACAGTGCTCACAGGACAAATGTCATTAATCTGCACTTATTCAAGACTAAAGCCAATGTGAAGATGCTGGACTTTTGCACTGCGTATACGGGTGTAGTAATGACCAAACAAAGAAAAATAAGCACAGAGGCAGAACATTTCATAGGATTAAGTTTTTTTAACGTTTTTCTATGTTTTGAACTTTTGTGCGAAACAAGTATTGATGATAATAAAGTATCTTACTGCACTGACCACAAGGCAAAGTAGCACCAACTCGCACTTAATTCTACTTCTAGCTTATGCTAGTTTTGTTGAATAAAATCAGCAAACAATGTAAATGAAGTATGACAAAAAAATGCTGCTGTGCTAGAAACTTGTATTATTGTCATCTAAGTGAATAACGGCTAGTTTTTGAAGTAACTTAAAATGATGCCTGATGACATAACAGTGCCTGCGGCTCAGTGTGCACACGTTTACCCTAAATTATTGAATATTACAAATATAATATATGATTTAGATTAGAAAGGTGGATATGCACATTGAGGCACAGGGATATCGATGGTTCACACAAGTCATTTATAACAGAGATCGCATCACTCCCTCTGTTAGAATGAGAAGTGAAAGCAGGAGGAGAGGGGGTGTGTTTCAGGAAATGGATTAGATCAAATTTAACAGTCAGGGAGGATAATACATTTTCAGGCACACAAACACACGCTCTTTGTCGGCAATGGCCATGCGGTCACATATCCATCCATGTAGAAAAGTGATGTACAATTATAATTTTCAGAATTTAATAAAATATTTGCCTATTGACTACCAGAAAAACTTTTGATCATAGATATACATGTATAAATGTTTATATGGCTCCGGATGGCCAGTCCTCCACTACAGGGGTTCCCAAACTTTTCAGCCCGCAACCCCAATGTCAATGACTCGCAACCCCCAATATCCTCTGAGGTATTTATAAATATAAAAACTTTGCAAGCAACGGAGCACACACACACACACACACACACACACACACACACACACACACACACACACACACACACACACACACACACACACACACACACACACACACACACACACACACACACACACACACACACACACACACACACACACACCAATAGGCCCAAGTCTATTCTTAATTTTTTTTTATATGTGTGAGTGCTGTAAAAATGCCATAAAGTTTAACCTGGTTCTATAAACTCAATCTGCTGTATCTGATGCTAATGCTGTGTCTTTAATATAATGCAATCACCCCAAGGGTCGCAAAAAAATCCAAAAGCTGTAACTATAAACTACTATTTTATCCTCAGTAAGTTATGGATAAATAAGGTAATTCTAATGGTTTAATAAAAGTTATTAGATTTTTGGAAGTCACCAAGTGACCCCCCTCCATTGTCCTGCAATCCCCGAAGGGTCCCGATCCCCACTTTGGGAACCATTGCTTCACTATACCTTGGTCCCACATTCATTTTAAAGAAGAGCTACTAAAATGGCAGCTCTATTGACACATTCCTTCCAATAGACAACAACAGCGTAGGCGACATCTAATGTAAATATCTATGCCACAAAGATGACTCTCCTTATATACTGCTTTAAGTTTTTTGTGACAATAGGCAAATGTGCGATATGTAATATTATTGATTTTTTTGAGTGTTGCATAATGAGTTTTTTTTACAATATAACTAAAAATCTGGATATTTTATGATTTTTAAAAATTATTATAATTTAATTTATTTATTTTTTCAATTTATCTAAAGATCATACTAAAAACAAACAAACAGGTAATAAATATTTTTCTGAGCTAATTGAAACAAAATCAAAAACAAAACAATCATTAAAACACCAAGAATGACTAAAAACCTTGTGGTGGAAAATTGTATTCTTATTGGCTGTTGTCCTTTTCATCTTTTGCCATCGGTATTTATTTTCAGCTCTAGGTTCACCAAACAACACCTACTGGAGAGGTGAGGATGAAGATAGTAAAGGCCCCAACTGATTGGTTAGATTTGGACAAACAACCTATGCAATGATTATCACAATGATAATGTTTCAATATATTGTTCAGCCCATATAGTTTGAATTACGAGGACACATGGCAGGTCCTCATGAACCACTTCAACCTTGTAATATTTAGGTCATACCCTTGTCATTAAACAAATATGTGTCCAACACATCACCAAAACCAGTAAACACACACTTGATTACTCTGACTAGCCTTTATTTGCATTTTTCAGTCTTGTGTCAGCTAAAGCATTAGTTATGGGGTATATGCACACGGATATTTAATTTCAGTCAGCCAGCCCCAGGGATTCTGGTTAATTGTCATCCCATACAAAATTGCCTCGTTTAAGATCTGATTTCTTTAAAAAAAACAGCAATCACTGCCTGGCTGAAATACGATATAAAGTGGGTCTCAGATTAAACAAGAAGCACTGCATTGAATTCTATTTTTCCGCGCTACGTCTTTAAAATATGGACATTAATTTTACTCCAGTATTTCAATGGAATTTCTGTGCCGACCTGCGGCTAATTACAGTGTCTGTGTTTAAACGTTTTTTTTTAACTATCACTTTTTACACTTTAACAACAAAATAGATGGTCAAGTCTATTTAACTGATTATATTTGAATTACATTACAACATCCATGCTGTAAAAGGAACCTAATGAATTTGAAAATAGTCACATAAAGCTCTCACCAGAAGTTCATCATTGGCTGAAAAACACTAGATGTGCATATAGCCCATTGGAGGCTAGATATTATTAAACAGCAGACCAAATGGTCATATGGCAGGAAATGCACCTTTGACCTTATCTGGTCACTCCTTGAAGACCTACATGAAACAGGCAAGGTGTCAGAGTAGGAGATGCGTTGGTTCAACTGGTGTCAGCAATCACACACTGAGCGGGGGAGGCCAGTGAATGAGCATTGGTGGTCAGGGTAAGATTGGGGTGACTAGGTCAAATCTGGCACGGTTACGTCAAATGACCAGTGAGTGAACAAAGCATAATAGGTGTGGGAAACAAAGAATTCTACATCGAAGCCTACTGAAGCCATGATGTGCGACAAATAAGTAGTGATTGTCACTTCAGTGATAAGATATAGTCTTTCACAATCTGTCATCAGTTGGTGTGGATTTGTTTTTATTTTGTCCATGCATCATGGTTCTTTAATCATTTTTTATTTTATTTTATTTTGGGGCAAAAAAATGATGTATGGGGTGTCAGAATAAACTGTTAACGTGAAGGTGCACATGAATTATAGGTACATATTTCATTATATATTCATTGAGCTTAATTTTCTTTAAATAACTTATTCTTTAAAACATCAACTTTCCTAAATCATTTAATAAACTTTCTTTTAAATCAAGAGACCACAAAAGAGTGCCAGGGGTTATGTGTAATTGCATGTGGGAAAAAATCCTATGACAACTTTTAAAGTAAATAAAAATAGTTATAATGTTACAATTATTTAAATACAAATAAAATTAAAACAAACAATCAAGCATTTTATTTATGCATCCATTTATCTAAAAAATCATGAAAAACAGACACAAAATACTAAGTAATAAAGTAACTAAAATAATTAGTAATAAATAAATATACAATATCAAAACAAATCTTTAAAATAGATCAATAATAATGTTGGCGCTAATTGCCTAGTGGTTAGTGCGTCGCGGTGCTCGCGGCGAATTGAGTTTGATTCCTGGCTCAAGGTCCATTGCCGATCCTTCCTCTCTCTCTGCTCCCCATACTTTCCTGTCTGTAAATCTCCACTGTTCTGTCATTAAAGATGAAACCCCTAAAAATAATTATAAAAAAAATATTTAATAAAATAGATTAACAATAAATAGATTAAAACTAAATTTAACTCAAATTTTAAATTAACCATACAAATATACATTTTAAAAACTAAAAAGTTGCTAAAAACAGTGATAACAACTAAATATTTTTCATAATATTTAGACCCCTTAATAATACCTTTCATATAATAAATTATGTCTTTAAGCAAAAACAACAACAACTACAAATACATTGACTAGATTGATCATACGTGACAGCCCGTGGCCTCTTGTTTTAAACCAGTTAAATTCGTGACTGCTCTGCTTTAAATGGCATGATCAATGATGTGAAGTCCGCCTACAGGTTAAAGACTGTAGAAATATCTATATGGGTTTTTCTAAATGTCATCTTATTCAAAGTATCTTTATAAAATGTCCCCTAAGCTATATAGGAGGGACTGGGGAAATTTTTTTTCACATTTAACATTCACCTATTTTTGATATTCAATTTAATCTTCCCATCTTGCCAGAATATTGTTATTACATTACTGCATGAAACATAAAATCTTTTATAGGACCAAAACAAAGAATGGTAGTATGCATTAATAAATCCCTGAAAGAAATTAGCCTAACTTCTTTACCACAAAAAAAAAAAAAATAAATAAATAAAAACACTTACCATAGTTTAAACAAATTTTATTTTAATAGTAAAAACTAAATACAATAAAATACAGTTACCACAATACAATTTCAGGCATTGCGATAGTTATTTAGTAGATATCTTATGTTAATTTTGACAGCAGAGTAGCTGAATTTCTTTTACTGGAGCTGCGCACTCTTTTACTTCCTGTTTACAACCGGGCAAAATGGCGGCGCCCATGCGAATGGCACCACGGAGCATGTACAATTCCTAAAACGAACGCTATATTTTCTTGAAAAATAAGTTTGAACACATAATTTAAAACTTTACATGATCCATCAAGAGTTTTCTGGGGGTTGCATGCGTAGGCTAACGTTACACAGCCCTGACTCTTATTTGTTTCTACCACGCTCTGCAGTGGACGGCAGAATGTTCTTGCTCGCTTGTGTGTTTATATCTGCTCGTTAGAGTGTACATGAACAGCGGATTAAACCGGAGACGAGACACTGGGCAATATAAGTCGATTAATGCTGTTAGTAGTGTTGAAATCATTAAACTGAAGCTCTGGCAGGCATGCGGTGTGTGAAGGCGCTTCAGCTCACCCTTGCGGTCATCAAACCAGATGCTATGGCTCATCCGCTCATACTGGAGGTGAGACGATGATGATGATTACACTGCACTGCACCTGTTATTATCAACACCTGTCTGATTACATACACATATGAAGAAAAGTCAATGGCAGCAGACCATATGGAGTCAACATTTTTAATGTGCGAACACTTTTTTTTGTCGAGTCTCTCTTATATCATATATTGACATCGAGACCAGAACCAGTTTTTACTGCAGAATGAGTATATTTTCCACAAGCAGTTGTTTTGGATTTCAAGGTTTTGTAGCAACTGTTTTTATTATTCCTTTAGTAATTTTTGTAGAATTTTCAAATTAGCAATTACATTGTAGCTGCTACATTGTAATAGGTCATGATTTCAATGATAAAAAAAAGGTAACCTGGTTAACAGTAAGCTTACTTTATGTATATAAATTCGAAATTAATTAGGAGTTTAAAAATATAAGAATAACTGTAAATTTACCTTCTCAGATTATCCTTCATGATGCTTCACTTTTTATGTTTTTTGTTGACTTTAGGTTTCGTTTAAGTTTTTTCTCCCATATTCCACTTTTTTCCCCATTGCCATTATGATGTTTTGTAGATGTGTGGAGGACACAGATTGCCTTCTAAATATGAGGATATTTTATTTTATTTTTTTTGTTTGTGGAAAAAGTTGTTTGAGCATTGGTTCATTATATGACTTTATCATCTCCATATGCTTATAGTTGTGTAACAAAGGATATATGTTCTTAGTACATCAAAACATTATCATATTAACACTATAAATTATTAACACTATAAATTAAAGAAATATAATAGTAAAAATGAAACATTTATTTTACGGTTTGTATCATACTTTAATGGTAAAACACTGCAAACCAACGCTGCTTTTAATTAATTAATTTGTCAAAGATTTATTTTTGGCCTTTTTGGCTTTATTAAGTGGATGGGATAGTAATGAGACAGGAAGCATAGAGTGAGAGGGGTTAGGGACGGGAAATGTTCTCAAGCCGGGATTCATACTCGGGATGCCCTGAAGTGCTACTGCACCATATGTCAGTGTGATAACCACTAGGCTATTGTGTCGACCAGCGCTGCTTTTTTTTTTACGTAAATTAAGATTTTTTTTTTTACAGTGTAATATATTTTCCATACTAGTATAATCAATTCCAGCATTATGGATATGATTTGCAGTAAAAGCTTAAAACATAAAACCCAGTAAAATATATGTTAACATTATATTAAAACATCTGTTTATATTTTCCAAAACTACTAATCACAGGGTTATGGGATCACAAAAGTTTCAATCTGCAAACCTTTTTTATATTTTAAATGAGAACAATAAACATGCGTTTTGGATTTGACCAAAAAAGTCTGTGAACTTACAGTTTACAACATACGTTGAAATTCTGTGTATCAAATTACACAGCTCAAAAGGAACAATGATAATCAAAATGATAAGAGTAGGCTCACTATCGAAAAAAACACGATTGATTTTATTTTATTTGACAATTTTGTGTTTATGAGGATAAAGCGTTGTTATGGATGTGACGTCTTTCTATTGTGGATGTGACAGATATGAAATTTGCACTTATGTGACTTCGGTAAATTAAATATAAATGTTTGAAAACATTGACAGAGACATTTTTAAGTATATGTGTTGTACTATAGAATACTTGCTTACACAAAAAGCCAGTTTCGCTGTTTTGGTGAAAACCTTTTTCGCGGCAAGGTTTACATTTGGAATTGCTCTACTACTGGTAATTATTCATTCCCTACCAGTACTTTATTATGACATGTACTTGATCAGCCATTAATGCTACAACATGTCTAATAGATAGGATTGTTTTTTCTGAAATGTTACTGGTAAGATTTTTGTTTTACTCATTAGATTTGTATTTGAACTCTGCTGTGGCTACTCACATTATAACATAACATTATAACATAATGTGAGTACTACATGAGTATAAAACAGTTTACTCATCATTAACTTGTCCTCTTGTGGTCTGAAAACTTTTTGAGTTTTTTTTTCTTCTTCTGTTGAACAAAAAACAGATATTTTGAGTTCAGATGAGCACTTCTCAAAAAAGCAGATATCTTGAAGAAATGGAAACCAATAACTATTGACGTCAATTGTAGAAAAAGGAAAATGATATGGAAGTCAGTGGATACTGGTTTCAGCCATTCTTCCAAATATTCTCTGTGGCATTAAAAAGAAAAAAAGATACTCAGCAGGTTTGGATGGAACAAATGAAAGGAGGAGAGTAAAGGATGCCATTTCTTTTTGGGGGGTAAATCTCTATGAAGTCAGCGTGAAATTAAAATGTACAATGTTTATTTTGCCAGCTCACATAGTTATTCTTAAAGTGAATAATTTACTGTGTGCAGATTGTTTTGGTAATCTTTAATTAAAATCTGACCATTTGCTTTCATCTTTGGAGTGGCAGTCTTTTTGTTGACGTCAACCTACGTCAACCTGGCAACTGTATATCACTATCTTTAACCACTCCCCTCCTACTGCTAGTTTACTATGAGAGAGTGATGCACAAAAAAGCCTCTCCCCCATTCACCATTCAAATTTAATGGGCTTTATGCACACAGACTTTTAATTTCAGCCGTCCAGCCTCATCGTTTCTGGTGAACTGTCCTTCCATTATAAAATTGCCACGATTTCTTAAAAAAAAAAAAAAAAAAAAAAAAAAAAAATATATATATATATATATATATATATATATATATATATATATATATATATATATATATATATATATATATATATATATATTATAAGATATAAAGTGGGTCTCAGACTGCATAAGAAGCACTGTAGTAAATTCAATTTCCCCCTCCATGTATTTAAAATATGACAGTTTATTTTACTCTAGTGTTTTCAATGGAGTTTCTGCGCCTGCCTGCTGATCCTGATGGCACTAGTGGTTACATGGTCTTTCATTTTGTTGTACACTTGAACAACTGAAGTGAATGCTGAAGTCTAATAAACTGAATGTACTGTAATTTACAACATTGATGCTTATGAAATTGAAAATAGTCACATTAAGCTTTCACCGGAAGTTTATCATCGGCTGAAAAACACTAGCTGTGCATATAGCCTGTTAGAAATACATCAACATACTGACACAAAAGTCTCAGAAACTTCCAACTCACGCCGACTTTAACACTTACTGTAACACTTGATAAACAGCAGCATTCTCTCCTAAGCTCATTTTGATAGCTTTTAAAGGGCAAAATTCTAAGTCAGAGGAGAATTAAAGCTACATAATCGTTTGTCTTTACTAATAAACCGAGCAAAAGTCTCACCAGATTTAATTTCCGCTCTCCGATACTTCAAAGAGATAAAGGTGTCTTTAATTAGCAACAATTTCCTCCGATGCATTGTGGTTTTAAAAAACTGAAGAACTGATTTAATTCACACCAGCATATTTTAAATGAATTGTTTGTGTAATTATTTGGAGTGAGACGTGCTTTCATCACTCAGCCTTTACTCTCCTTCTTCTGGGAGATTAAAACACTTAATTAACTCTTTTTTCTTTTTTTATGATCCTTGTTGATGGAAAAGATTAAATAAAAATTTCTATAAGCTTCCATTAGCATGTAGTGACTCATTTATTACAGACAGTGATTTCAGCTTTATGTATATGCAACGTGCTCCAATATATTATTGCTTTTAATTTCAGGCTCTTCATCAGAAGATTCTGGAAAACTTCATTATAATTAGAAAGAAAGATCTGATATGGCGAAAAGCTGATTCGGAAATGTTTTATGCTGAACATTCAGGTAAAAACTGACTTCTTTATTTTATGAAACACTGGATGAATGAAAACGCTGTGTGTTTGTATGAGACTGAATGGTGAAGCACATGCGTGGGTGGTTGTCTGTGTGGTGCGTGATTTTAACAGCATGACTCATAGTAAAAGGCTTCACACAACCTGCAGATATAATGTAGAGAGAGCATGTGGAGAGTGAACATGTTAGTCAGTCTCAGCTTATCTAGTCCTGCATCCAAAGAAAAGCAGCTGCCTCACATTCAGATGTCTGAGTAATATATGCAAACGAGCCTTTTCAGATCACGTTAACAGATTGCAGAAGAAATCTGTGAAATAAAACAAATCAACCTTGTTAATAATGATAAACTGATTCAATAAACAGTGTTTTTTTTATTATTATAATCCCTGTGTTTATTTTGCAGGACGTTTCTTCTTTCAAAGACTGGTTGAATTTATGTCGAGGTAAATTTAACTATTATTTCCTTGTTTAACTGTAAAGGTTTAACTGATAATACTTTGGAAATTTACATGTTTTTGTATACATACACACAATGTACATACACACACACATACATACATACGTATATGCTAATTTTGTGAAATATATGGAAATAAAATGAACAGAAAAGGTAATTATGAATTTTATTCTACATTTTACACTTATTGTTTCCTGTTAATTGTAAGGGAAAAGTCTAAATTTTGAGATTAACAAAATCACGGTTACCCTTTTCATTGTGAATTATCAACTCAGGATTATGAGATGAATTTAAAATTGTAAGATATAAATGTAATAAAATGAAAAAAACATGATATTATTAGATATAAATTCTGAATTGCTTTTGTTTATTTCTGACGTTTTGGCTTTTTTTTGGTCAGAATTCGATCGATACAAACTTGCAGTTCTCAAAAAAATGAGATTCAAAAAAGTCTTTTTCCCCAATTTAGAGAAATACACTTGTAATTTTGACTTTATAACAAGTCAAAAATTAAAATATAAATTTTGTATTTCAGAACAATTATCAGAAAGTTTATATTTTACATTTCTGCTTTTCAATAGTCTGTTTGTATTTTGCTTTTCAGACTTTTCTCAGAAATAAGAAGTATAAAGATAATAATTAAGTTTGTTAACAATTTATAATTACACACTATAAACCATTTATTAAGCATTAGCAAAAAGTGAATTCATTATCTGTTAAGCATTATCTCTACATTAATAAACATTAGTAAGCAGTTTATAACTGCAGCTACAAACACTTTATTCTTGACTTATAAGCACATGTGTAACGTGCTTGATAATTATGTTTTTATATTTAAGGATTAATTTTTCATTACTAATTAAAGTATTGCATTATTTACAAACCAATAATTTAAGATTAGTTGGTGGTTTTTAAAGATTATTCAGAAAATGTAGGTAAATGAATAGTTAACTATTTAAATTAATATTGATAATTCTTATTAATCAGGCATATACTAATAGTTGATTTGTTAGTTAATAAATGTTTTATTAACTCAACTTCATCCAGACAATTAAAGGCTCAGCTAAATTTTAAACAGGAAAAAAAAAACAGGAAAAAAAACAGAAAATAAACGACTTGATTAATTTCTATTTATTTGAAGAAACACAAAAGAAACTGTATCAAATGAAAATAAATCTTTGCAACCTTATCTAAAATAAAATGACTATGCAGTATTATGATACTAAATAACGTTAAAATGTTTCATCCTATAATATTGTTAAATTATTATATTGTTTTTTTTATCCAATTTTATGTTATATTTTGAGACTTCTGTTATTCATCAGTTTGAAGTTTACAGTAATTGTATTTTTTAGATAAGATTGCAAAGAGTATTTTTTATTTGAGAACAACGGAGGGGTGCAGTGGGTAGTGCTGCCGCCTCACAGCAAGAAGGTCGCTGGTTCGAGCCATGGCCGAGTCAGTTGACATTTCTGTGTGGAGTTTGCATGTTCTCTCCACATTTACGTGGGTTTCCTCCAGGTGCTCAGAGTTTTCCCCACAGTCCAAAGACATGCGGTACAGATGAACTGGGTAGGCTAAATTGTCCGTTGTGTATGGATGTTTTTTCTGAGATGGGTTGCAGCTGGAAGGGCATCCGCTGCCTAAAACATGTGCTGGATAAGTTGGCGGTTACTTTCGCTGTGGCGACCCCTTATTAATTAAAGGACTAAGCTGAAAAGAAAATGAATTAATGAATTAATTTTTTATTTGATACTGAGCCTTTAATTTTCTTTTATAAGGCATTTACGAAGCATATTGTCCTCACTTTAGATTAGGTCACAAAACTGGATGAAGTTAAAAAAGCATTTATTAACATATATAATAACAATTAGTAAAAGGCTGAATAATAAGATATATAAACATCGATTTCAATAGTTTATTAATCACTTACTAACTCAATTTGAATGATCTTAAAAACCACAAACTACTCTAAAATATGAATGATTTGTAAATAATGCAATACTTCATTTTGTAATGAAAAATCTATCAGTCACAAATTATGAAAATACAATCATTGAGCACGTTACACATGTGCTTATGAGTCAAGAATAGAGCATTTGTATCTGCAGTTATAAACTGCTTACTAACGTCTATTAATGTAGAGTTAATGCTTAACAAATAATGAATTCACCATATGCCTAATAAATGATTCATAGTGTGTAGTTATTATAGTGATACCGAAAGTTTTTATTATGTTTGTATGTATCACTTTATACATGCGTATACGTGGATACGCTGATTAATTAATTGGAAGCTACAAGTTAAATAATGGCCACTAACAGAAAAAGAATATTCTTGATTTATGGTATTCACTGATATAGCATTCATGGATCTTTGGACTTATGTATATAGTGATTGCTTCTCTGATTGCTCCTTTGTGACAATTATTAATAAAAAAAAACTGTTAAATAGTACAGTATGCACAACCTATGGATCCAGACATCGGTTGTTTTACATTAAAATATTCAGTAAATAGTAACATTTTTTTTAAATAAATTTTGTTTTATTTCATTCATTTATTTGCACATGTATTCAGACTTAAGTGTTCTTTATGCTGTTATATAAAGTACATTTTGTTACCATTTCATCTTTTTTATGAAGAGTTTACTGGTAAAACGTGTTCACATTACTGAGTAGAAGAACAACTGATGTGGAAATGTTTAAAATTGTATGTTATTTAACAGAACATGCATTTATGAAGGTTAAAGGTTAACCGCTTGTAGTTCACAAGCACTTTTCAGAGGTTTTCAGAAATTAATTGCCTCAAATCATTATCAAACATTCATAGGAAAGAATGGATCTTCTTTTAGTGGATTTTTGAGGTCAGCAAGTTTGGGGACAGCAACATTTTGAAAGGAGTGAACAATTCAGACCGCAAAGATGGATTCAGTTGATTGATAGCAACACTAAAGGTTTATGTTACAAAATATTTCATGGACAATTATGAACCAATAAATGAAGAACCAGTGGTGGTCAGACAGGAAGAATTAGCTTTTTATTAGATTTATAACTGTAATACAGGTATGTTCCAAAAATTAGAATATCGAGGGAAAGTCCATTTATTTTTAATAATTTGTTTCAAAAAGTGAAACGTGTGAGTTATATCAGTTGACTACACACAAATTGAAAGATTTAAAGCCTTAATTTGTTTCAATTTTAATGATTATGGATTAAAGATGAAAAAAAATCCAGTATTTCACAAAATTAGAATATTTCATGTGACCTTTAGAAAGGGATCTTAAACTCGTGTTGACCTTCTAAAAAGTGAGTTAATGTACTGTATTATGTCCTCAGTACTTTGTTGGGCCTCTTTTAGCACTAAGTACAGCATCAAGGCATGGAGGCAATCATCTTTTGACACAGTTGAGGTGGAGGTAGTCCAAGTTGCTTTGATATTGGCTTTCACCTCGTCTGCATTTTGGGGTCTCTGTTCCCTCATCTTTATCCAATAGCTCATAGATTTTCAAAGGGGTCAGGGTCAGGTGAGTTTCATGGCCAATTAAGAACAGGGTACTGGTAGCTTTTGCACTGTGTGCAGGCTCCAAATCCTGCTGGAAAATACAATCATAAAAAATCCAAAAAGCTTGTTGGCAGCAGGAAGCATAAAGTACTCAAAAACATCCTGGTATAAAGCTGCATTGACTGTGGACTTGATAAAAGGGCCCACACCAGCATATGACATGGCTCTCCTAACTATCCCTGACTATGGAAATTTCCAACGCAATCTCATGGCAATTCCTAACTGTTTGATGTAGTGGCTAATTCCTATGAGCTTGAACGTTCTAATTCGTAATTTGTAAGATTTGCTCATCAATGATGGTTGGGGTTAGGTGCCATGCCTCCTTTTTAAAATTGTAGATTTTCGTACGACTGAACTCGTATGAATTCGTATGAATTAGCCACTAAACTGACAGAACGTATAATACTTACATTTCCTTGTGAGATCAGCCTGGAAATTTCACACTAGCAGCTTGACTTTTGTGTCTTTCCGCTCTTCCTCCAGACTCTAGGATCTTGATTTCCAAATGAAATACAAAATTTTGTTTTATCTGAGAAGAGAACTTGGGATCACTGCGTAACAAACCTTTACCTTTTCTCTTTAGCCCAGCACATTCGCTTCTAGCTTAGTTTTTGGTCCAGGAGTGGCTTGACAACTGCAGTTCTACAGCTGTAGCCCATGTCCTGCAGATGTCTGTATGTGGTGGTTCTTGATGCTCTGACACCAGACTCAGTCGCCCTTGCTTAACAATCCTCTCAAGGCTACGATCATACTTGTGCACCTTTTCCATCCACATTTTCCCCTTCCTCTCAACGCTCTATTAATATACTTAGATACTGCACTCTGAGAGCATCCAGCTTATTTTGCAATTGACTTTTGAGACCTTTCCTCCTTGAGGGTTCCATCTTTTGCACGACTGTCAAGTCAGCTGCCTTCCCTATGATTCTGAAGAATACTAAGCCAGACTGAGACAATTTTAAGGCTTTCCATGTATTAGCGGACTAGATTGAGACACAAGTACTCTACAATGTTGAAATGTGTCATAATATTCTAATTTTGTGAAATACTGGTTTTGTGATTTTTCATCTTTAATCCATAATCCATAAAATTGATACAAATGAAGACTTAAAATATATCACTTTGTGTAGTGAACTAATGGCCCGTTTCCACTGAGTGGTACGATACGGTTTGGTTTGGTACGCTTTTATGGACGTTTCCACTGTCAAAAGGCGTACCGTACCAAACCGTACCACTTTTTGGGCACCTTTTCAAAAGGGTACCAAAAGGTGGAGCTAGACGCACAGTGAACCAACGCTATTGGTTCACAGAGATACATCATTCGCTTGCGCAACAAGCCAGAATGAAAACAAAAAGCCCGCCATGTTTACAATACACACACAGCCGAGAGATTACAGCTGAATTATATATACATATAATAACGAGCCATGGTTGACCTGGCCTAAAACAAACCTTGTTGTCATCTTGATAAACAGCCACAAAGCCATGGAGTAGAGCAGAATCTACCCTGTGCCTCGTAGTTTTTTACAAGCCAGTCTGAAGCGCGAGCGTTTTCGCTTGGCTTGCGCTTGCATGTCTATATCTGAAATAACAAACTTCTTGAGCTGATGATAATAACGTGCGCTTGATTATTGACATGCTTTTGAAACCCGATCCTGTCAGACACTGACGAACGTGAGAGTGAAGCATGGAAAAATGGAGAAGCTGGAAAAAAAGGAGCACATTATTTCTTCAGCAAACGTAATGAAAAAAACTGCCTTGTTTTTTATTATCACCTTTTAGACTAATATGAACTGGGAATAATGGAACTACTCTCTAACAGAGGTTACATGTGCTGCTACAAGATTACAGACACCGATAAGAGGTTTTCACTGACTGTAGGCTTATATTTTGTGTTGTTTTGAACCTAAATAAGCACTATATGTCTGCTGTGTGTACTTTTTCTGTAGTTGGTAACATATCGGAGACTGTAAGGGGCTGTATGTGTTCATATATGTTCATTTATTTATTTAATATAATTGAAGACCTTACAGTAGGCTATTTCGAGCTGTCATTGATCTGCAGTTATAATCAAATCGTGTTCATAGAAAAGTTAGTTATAAAAAATTATACAGAAGTATTTATGTGTATAAAGCATCTGGTTTTTGAGAAGTGTATGTGAGCATCCTGTACAACTTTACTATTGACATTTCCTCGAGCGAGAATGATGTGGCTGAAACTTTGTCATACACCACGCCCACCAAAAGGGTACCCTTGGTAGTGGAATCGCAAGCCTGATAAAGGTGACCCGTACTGACCCGAACTGTATCGTACTGTACCAGTCAGTGGAAACAATCCATAATATAACACACAAGTTACGTTTTTTGAAACAAATTATTAAAATAAATGGACTTTCCCTCAATATTCCTATTTTTGGGAACACACCTTTATATGATGGATTTCTATTTGTGATAATTAGGGTTGATGTTTTAAATTCAGATGCACTTTGCACTTTTTTTGCACAACGCAAAAAAAAAAAAGCTAGCCTACTGTAGCATTAAAAAAAAACTATAGTAATTTAGATAAATAAATACTATAGTCTTTTAATCCACATAATAATAAAGTACTTTAAGTAATCTGTTGTCATAATTCTATTACTTTTATGGTAATACAACAACTATATTAAACAAATTACTCAATACTGGGTATATTATACTGCACTACACCATAGTTTACTGTAGTAAAGTATAATACAGCATTTAATAATGCTTATTAGTTCACTAATACTATAGTTTGCTCTCATTAACAAAGTGTTGTAAACAGTATAAAATATACAGTATACAATTAGTATTATAGTATTAATAGTAGTATTTACCATAACTGGGAATTCAATATGTTACGCCATCGGTCCTTTTGAAAGTAAAAATGAATGCAGGTATGATCTTTCATCTGTGGAGAAGGGACATCAGTGCTCAAAGACGGTGAAACGGATGTTTCCATGGCAGCCTGTCCTCCTCTGAACATGTCTTTGTCTATGAAAGATGAAACATTAGCCTGTGCTTATTTTAGTCTTCATTTAAAAAACAAGCAACTGATTATCCCCATAAGTTTCTATCCTTTTTGTGTGCCAGCAGAGCCATTAAGGCAGGTTTGAATGCACTATTGACGTCTTGTTGCAAATTATGTCACTCTTCTGTTTGGATTCAGTTCTGTTTTTCCATCTAGAAAAACACAGAGCTAATCACTTTAATTCTTATTTCCACAATAGCGGCCCAATGAGAGCGTACATCTTAGCCAGGGAAGACGCTATCACTCACTGGAGGACGATGATGGGGCCGACTAAAGTTTTTAGAGCCCGTTTCAGTTCTCCAGAGACGCTTCGGGGCAAGTATGGACTGACTGACACCAGAAACACCACTCATGGATCAGGTAGAGTAACACTGACCTGTTTTGATGATTTTCCAAACTGGATAGTTTAAAGCAGGGGTTTTCAACCTTTTTCACTTCAGGCCCACCTCCTTCTCAGAAATTTTTAAAAACTGATTATCTAGAGAAAATGCTTATTTTAAAGCTTTATTTATCAGCAAAACATTTCTTTTGCCTTGTATTAATATTTTTTTTCTACATAATTTTATAAAAAATAACTTGAAACATTGTATATATTTGTATCTATATTTCAATATAATATAAATATAATAATATATATTTTATATAAAAAAAACACAGACAGGTTCAAAGCTCCTAAATTCTTTACTTCAGTTATTCTTTACAACTGCAGAGTATTTAGGCCTTTTCTTCAGTAAGGAAACCTAACAGAAGATAACAGAAAACTGCTGCTGCGTTGAATTTGACTGACTTCTAATTATCTATTGATCTTTTATTCATATCTTTTAAAATAAACAACCTACAGTTACCCTAACCCTAAATTTAAGATACAGTAAAAACCCTCTAAATCTGTTGAAACACATGTGTCTGAAGCTGGTTTAGTTTGTAGGTGGACTTAGGACTTGGAGTACGCTGACAGGAACAGTGAACAGCTATTCACCACTTCTGAAACACCACAGAGTCTTGCTAGATCCTCATGTGCAGATGTGCATCAGTTAACACTCCCAGGATGTACAGTAATTTGGACAACTATGCAGATACCCTGATGAAGGCAGACTCCTGCCGAAGCGCGTAGGTTTTTAGAGATTTAGCCATGTGAATGAAGGCTTTTTAAATTTTTCACTTTTTTCGAGTGCCTTGGACTTATTCTTGTTGCTATGTTTAAATGTATCTTTAGTTAGTTTAACATGTAAATTGTGTATTTTGCCATTGATTTTTGGAAATGAGGCAACAGCCACAAGTAGACCGCTGAATATAAGTGTTTAATGGACATTTATAAATCACGTCATATCACTCAGCTCTTATGATAATTTTAGAAAACACTTTATAAAGCAATAATCTTTATAAAACACTTTATCCATTCTGTCGGATCCAAATCTTTTAAACTGTAACTTTGATTTTGTAAATTAAAGACTTCTTTCTTACTCAATCTAGACACTAATGCAGTATTATCTTTAATTCTTTCTTTCAGATTCCATTGAATCAGCCAAAAGAGAGATTTCATTTTTCTTCCCAGAATTCAGTGCAGAGGAGTGGATGATGAGGGAAGAACCACATTTTCGCTTGGGACACACTGAATATAATGAAGAGAGCCAGATTCATACTGTCAAGCACACATGAGGATCACTGGACTGATGGTATTTCTGCAGTGCTACATGATTGTGATTTTCACCACCTTTTCCTTCTGCTGCACTTGATGTTTTCTTTGCATCGCCATGTCACTCTATTGTAACTTACGACTTCTATCACAGCTCTGCCAACAGTTTTGTGTATATGCATATTTATGAACATATGTACTAGCATTGTAATAGGTGTAAAATAAAATGTAAATTTCCCCCAGCATAACAATATTTTTAAATATATTGATACATGTAGTGTCAATGGAAATAGGAACTGTAATTCTGTGTTCATTCGACATTTGATTTTGATTTCAACTTTGAAAATTTAGTACGCTACGCTATTCAATGACCAAATTCTCTTTATTTTTTCTTAAAACTAATTTAAAACCTTGAAAGTGATTACTTAAATTTTAAATGTTTTTTTACAGGGTTCCCATGGGCCATTTTTGAATGTCATAGATCTTTAAAAAATCTATTCCAAACAATGAAAATCAGAGAATTTTTAGATCTTTTTTATGGAAAATCTGGGTTTTTGTTTGCTGCTTTAAAGGTTTGATTACATTTATTGTTTCGTTTTACTTCGGCTTAGTCCCTTTATCAGGGATGACCACAGTGGAATGAACCGCCAACTTATCCAGCATATGTTTTACACAGCGGATACCCTTCCAGCTGCAACCCAGTACTGAGAACCACCCATACCCAGCCAATTTAGTTCATCCAATTCACCTTTACTGCATGTCTTTGGACTGGTGAAAAACACACAAACACGGGAAACATGCAAACTTCACACAGGAATGCCAACTAGTCCAGCCGGGACTTGAACCAGCGACCTTCTTGCTGTAAGGCGACAGTGCTAACCACTGAGCCACTGTGCTGGCATTGTTTCCATTTATCAAAATGTAATTTTTTCTTACCATTTTTCTGCCTGTTGTTATGGTTAAGCTGTTGTTCTGCTCCAATTTATTCATTTCATAAAGTAAATATGATGCATTTGTTCACCAGGCAAAACAAGAATAAGATTTTGCTGTACATTTTACTGATTTTGGTTACTGGAATCCACATTTTAACTGATCAAATTTAGTTCCACAACTAACCATATTTGAACCATAGTAATACATTTAGAAATTATAGTAAGTAAGTAATAATAATTAGTAATGCGTATTTATTTAGCGTATTTATTGTGTAAGGCCAAACACTTAAAGCGCTTCACAATCATTCTCTTTATGAGAAGTGCCATGCATTTTTATTGAACACAGAAATTGAGTCAGGACCTTGCTTTAACGTCTCATCCGAAAGGCAACGACCACTGACAGTTTAGGGCTCTATTTTGACGGTCCATGCACAGAGCGCAAAACGCAGGGCGCAAACGCTCTCAGGGCGTGTCAGAACGCGTTTTTGCTAATTTAAGGACAGGAAATTTGCCTTGCGCCAGGACGCATGGTCTAAAAGGGTTGAGTTTATTTTCTTAATGAGTTGTAGGTGTGTTTTGAGAATAAACCAATTAGAGTATCATCTTCCATTCCCTTTAAGACCCAGCTGCGTCGCGCCAAGAGCGCATTTGCTATTTACAGGACGCAAAGTAAGTCTAAGTGGAAAAAATGAGCATTTCACAAGCAAACAGTTAACAGTTAACAGTTTTTTAACATAAAACTTTTAAACAGAGCATCTACTGCGTGAGAATGAGAGATAATGGAACTACTTTCACTTTCGCTCTTGGATAGGGAAACCTTTACGCACAGACATCAATTAGTCTATAAATAAATAATTTGGTTTGTTAAGCGCAAATATTCGTTTCAAAACTATTTTAAGTTTTCTATTCTAAATTCTGTTCTAATTTCCAGCAACGAATAAATGAATAATAATAGCAAAATGTGCTCAAAAACCTGAGTTATATCCTAAAACACATGATGTGCCCCATATGGTCTAAAACCTGACAGGTGGGCAAATCTAAGCTTGTTTTTAATAAAACAAATATAAATATGGATATAATGAATAATACTGCTAATAATAATAACATTATACAAAAGCAAATTGTTATGAATGAACTGAAAAAGCCTCCCGAGATGAAGAAGACATAAAAGCAGTGGTTTTTCATATTTATGTAGGCTAGAAAATAATATGTTTTGTAATATTTTAATCCGTTATATTTTTATTCTATGTCTATTCTTATTATATACTATATATATCCTTAATATTTACATTTTTTTATATGTAAAGATATTTGCCTATTGCTCTCTTGTGCGTATTAAGCAGTGCGTAAGCGAGGCGCAACTCTGCACCGGAGTTTAGACCGGGTTTGTTTTGGTCTAATGAAAAATCTATTATAGATTCTTAAACTAGCGATGCGCGAGCGGTCCGCCTCAGAACGCCTTCCTTTTTAGACCAGAACGCCTATGGGCGCAAAAATGAGCGCTAATGCATTTGCTATTTAAACAGCGTAGCGCAACGCCTCAAAACGACTCTTGCGCCAAGCTGAAACTACCAAAAGATTATTGCGCCGCGTCTTGCGCCCCACTGCGCCGGGTGTATGATAGGGCCCATAGTGTCCCCTTCAATTTACTGGGGCATCAGGACTCACACAGACTGCAGGTTGAGCGCCCCCTGCTGGCCTCACTAGAACTACTTCCAACAGCAACCCTATGTGGTCTCCCATGCAGGTACTGACCAGGCTCAGCCCTGTCTAGGTTTAGCGAGCAACCGGACCTGCAGGGTGATATGGTTGTGGCATTTAGTAGTTCTCAAACTTTAGGGACTTTAAATAAGTACATTAAGAAAATGATTACTTAAAGGCAGTTTGAATACTCATTTTATACTTTTGTAATGATGCATTTGAACAAAAACAAGAGGAAATGCACGCTAATTACTTTAACTGTCTTCAAGTGGTAAAATATGTTAGTAAATATAGAAACTTACTTTAACCTATATAAATATTTATCATATTAAGTGGTCTTAACTACAAGGTACTTGCGTCAAAAAAATAAGTGGAGTGTTCATATTGAATTGCACAACCCTTGAGGTGGGATATATATTTAAGGGAAAGGTTTGGTGGCATGGCAAGGTTAAAGGTATTTTGACAGGGCATTTATAAGTGCAATTACATAAATCAGTTACATGCATATAATAAAAAAGTACATTGTAAAAAGATATACAGTTGAAGTCAGAATTATTAGCCCCCCTTTGAATTTATTTACAGTACAGTATGTCTGATAAGATTTATTCTTCTGGAGAAAGCCTTATTTGTTTTATGTCAGCTACAATAAACTCATTTTTTAATTTTTTAAAAGCCATTTTAAGGTCAAAAATATTATCCCCTTTAAATGTCACTTTAAGCTGTATAGAAGTGTCTTGAAAAATATCTAGTAAATTATTGTTCTAGTCATCATGGCAAAAATAAAATTCAGTTATTAAAAATGAGTTATTAAAACTATTATGATTAGAAATGTTTTGAAAAAAATCTTCTGTTAAACAGAAATTGGGGAAAAAATGCACAGGGGGGCTAATAATTCCGACTTCAACTGTATGTACATAAAATGTGCATTGTACCAAATAAATAATTAAATTTGAACTACATACTAATTAAGGCCACCTAATTCAAAGGCTCAAATGTTTTGTTCATTGGTAGTTAAACCCGCCAATCAAACACATGGCAGCAACTCAATTAACATAGAGATGTTTGAGGCAATCTGCTGACACTGAAACTGAGTGTAAGAATGGAGAAGAAAGCTGATTTATCACAAGACTGGCTCTAACTGAGAGTTAGTAAAAGATCACATTAGTGCCACTCCTGTCAGCTGGGAACTGAAAAATGAGGCTATGATTGACACGGGTTTACCAAATATTGGACAATTGAAGATTGGAAAAGTTTGCCTGGACTGATGGGTCTTTGTTTCTGCTGATGGCAACGTCAGATATTCTACATTAACAACATGAAAACCTGGATCAATACTGCCTTGAATGAATAATTCAGGATATGGTGTGTGGGAGATTTTCTTGGCACACTTTAGGCCCCTTAGTACCAAGTTACCAACTGAGTGTTGATAAAAGTTGGAATGAAATCAACATGTGCTGCTCTTATTTTAGTAGTAGTGGTAATCATAAACCATGTATCTGTGCACTTCATTATTTTAAAATTTTGCCTTCATAATATTTTAAGTTAGTGAGTGGAGTTGCTAAATTTATTAATATAGTGATATATCAAGTGACATGGTTGTGGATACATTTGCAGAAAACTCATGAAAACGTTCTCTGGTAAGTATTTCCACTACCTTGCCAACAACATCTCGTTGTGACATCTCGCATGATTCAATGGGATCTCGATAACTGCAAGTTACACCTCTAACTTACAACAAGTTATACCCATTCATCTTACACCCTCATCTTGCAGTCCGCAGACAGATACACTTGGACCTGAGCATTAAACTTGTTTACTCTTATGGCCACAGTGTACTCATTTGTTTTTGAAGCAAGAGAAAGACTGGAATACAGCAAGCGGTTATGCTCTTCCAAGTGACAGCAATAAATATTTAATAACTCTGCAATAACATCTTTCAGTCAGTAGAGCAGTGATGTATCAAACAGTATCGGAATAACACAACAAAGCGTCCAGTACCTTTTCTCCCCAAGTTGTATATGCTACAGAAACTGTAATCAGGCTTTGAACAAATGTTTGAAGGCAACAATAGTGTGGTAGTACTGTAAGTGTGCAGGATGTACAAAAGAGCCCTGTTTTTTAAAATCTAAAATCAAACGCAATACATCGACTTCAAGCCACTGGAAACAAACAAACAACAAAACAAACAAAAAACAAACACATATGTTTTTAGTATTTTGTTAAACAATTTACTTTTTTGAACACTTGTAACAAAGTCAGTCAGTAGGCCACTCAATTGCACTTCTTGATCCGTCATGTGCTTTCAGTGTATGTACAGTAGATCCTTTACTAAGACTCATTTTGTTGCCTTCAGAAAATGACATTTAACATTATTTTGACACACACTATAGAGAAAAGTACATAAAAATAGACATTTTTAAAGCGGTCAAATGTAACCGGAAAAAACAAAACAAAGACAAACAATACTTTGACCCTTGAATGAAACCCGTTAATCACAGCACTGATGAATTTCTTCATTTAGGTCGTCCCTGCTTTGTACTTCTTTGGTCCACACCTTCACCAAAGCTTTCAGGCCATCCAGATACAATCTTCATGAGGTCTTGAACCTCACTGAGGCACCGAGT